TTGATATAGAAGTTTCTTTCTAACAAATAATCATGTATTCTGTCAACTTATAAGATGAAGGTCTGGGCGCGATGGCCCATACCTGTAATCCTAGCACTCTGGGAGGCTGAGGCAGGTGGACTGCTTGAGCTCAGGAGTTCAAGACCAGCCTGAACAAGAGACCCTGTCTTTATTAAAAATAGAAAAACTAGCTGGGTATAGTGGTACATGCCTGTAGTCCCAGCTACTCGGGAAGCTGAGGCAAAAAGAAGATCACTTGAGCCCAAGAGTTTGAGGTTGCTATGAGCTATGATGCTGTGGCACTCTAGCCTGGGGCAACAGAGTAAGATGCTGTCCTAAAAACAAACAAACAAAATGAATAAGATGAGTAAAAAATTTCAACTATCCAGGACCTTGCCTGTTTGTACTCCCTGAGAAAACCAATGTCAACATTAGTCAATGTGTCCAAGGAGAATATACATATGGCCAAGATGGTTCTACATCATTAACTGTGAGGAAAATATAAATGAAAACCAAAATTATATACCTACTATGACAGCTATAATCAAAAAGACAGATAAGAAGTAGCAAGGATGCAGAGAAACTGGAACTGTCAGATACTAATGGTGGAAAATCACTGATGGTGGTTCTTAATGAAAAATGATGCTGCTGGCTGGGCACAGTGGCTCATGCCTATAATCCTAGCACTGTGGGAGGCTGAGGCAGGAGGATCCCTTCAGCTCAGAGGTTCAAGGCAAGTCTGAACAAGAGTGAGATCTCATTTCTACTAAAAATAGAAAAATTAGCCAGGTATTATACTATGATATGATTATACTATTATACTATGATATTGTGATAATGCCACTGTGCTCTAGACAGGGTAACAGAGTGAGATTGTCTCAAAAAACAAAAACAAAAAAATCCTCAAAAAACTGGATCAGAAGTGTTCTTAATGAATAAAGAGGAATTAATTTGCTTATTCCAAAATGAACTGTTTCTCAAAGAGTTATCTGGGAATTCAAGAGAACCCAGATCAACTAAATGCAGAACTTGGGAGATGTGCTTGATTTTTGCTGTTATACTGGCCTACCTACAAAAGACAGCATTAATCCGAGTATACTTGAGGAGTAAAGCAAAGCATGCTGGAGCTGTAAAAAACAAATGTCAATTCCTAATTCTCAGCCCAAAGTTCAAAGAATTCCAGGAACTTAAAGGAATACTTTTGATTAGCAGTGAATCTCTCTCTAAACTATCCCAATATGAAAAAAAAAATGCTGTTGAAACCATAAGGCTGGGGCCATGAGAAGAGATGAAAAATAGCGAACGATTTAAGTAAAGCTCTGGCTGGCCTCCAGTTGCTAACAATGCTATGATGTGTTCTGCTAGTTTCTTTCTCCCTGGGCCTCCTGTCATCACACAGCACTGAGGCAGAGGTCCAACAGGCAGCATCAGCTACAAATGAGTGGCGGGGAGCCAGAGAATTTGAATTCAGCTATGAAGTTTAGGCAACAAGCTAGAGGCAGGATCAATTCAGTTCTTCAAATTATTAGAGAGGAGGTATAAAAGAATAAGCTGGGGGCATGTTGAATAGAAAGAGCGAGTAATTTTGATCATTTGATCATAAGACTCATGATTGATCCTTAGCTCTATCCCTTGCCAAATGTATGATCTTAGGAAAGTCACATCCTTCAAATTCTTAGTTGTTAAACTTGAGAGGATAAAATAGTCTTATCTTCTTTGGGGTTGTTGTAAGGATCAAGTCAAATATAAAACACTATTGAAATATTATTTACTCAAGGTAACAAATACTTATTAGATACATCTCATGTTCTTTGCGCAGCACGTGACAGAGAAAGTAGCATAATGCACTCCCAGCCCTCCAGGAGTACTCTGAGGACAGTGGTGCATGAACACACAGGCGACTCTTGAAAGAAGTATGAAACAGAGCTGGAGCTACAACTGATTTAGTCAGACTACCAGACTACCAGGCATTCTAAAGGAGAGAAAAATAAATACATGAAGAGATGTAGAAGTACACAGTGTTTAGGGAGCAGTGAGTTATCTCATGTGGCTACAGCACAGGCTAAACAAGAAAGTGTACCTGGAAATGAAGCTGGACAAATAGGCTGGAACCAGGCTGCAAAGGACTCTATGTCGTGGCAGAGTTAAGCCATCTAATTAGAGGCAACACATAGGCATTGAAGGGAAATAGCCAGGTTTTTCTTTTTTTTCCTAACATCTCTCCCTTTTTTCTTTGTTCTAACACTATAAAAAGATATCATATTTGCCTTCAGAGTATAATAGGCAGAAAGATAAAGAATGTATCTTTCTAAATGCTATAGAGGCTATAATAGAAGTACACAAGGAATACAGTGAGGGGCACAAAGAAGAGGGTGGTTAATTCCACATGGGAGAGTCAGGAAAATATTTGTTGAGGTGTTAAGTTGGCGTTATCCAGGCAGATCAGATTGGCAGGACATATTCCAAGCAGAAGGAACAGCATGAGTGAAGATTCAGAGACATAAAATAGTTCAGCAAGAGCTTAAAGTATGAAGAGAATTTGGCACTATAAGCCTGGAAAGGTAGGCAGCAGCCAGGGCTGGTACTATATAGGTTAAAAAGCACAGGTTCTTCAGGTTGCCCCAATTCTACAATTTCTCTGCCTCTTTCTAGCACTGTGATCTTGAACACATTCCTCACCATCTCTAAACTTCATTTTTCACATTGATAAAATAGAGTATTAATAGAACTTACAGCGTAAGGTCACCGGAGGATTAAATGAGATAATCCATGTAAAGGACTAAGTACAGAATGTCTGACTTACAGGAAGCCCTCAATAAACTATTAACACTATTGTCATTACCTGTGTTATTATAGAAAACTTTGTTAGGAAACTATAATCATAATCAAGTCAAGAGATGATGGGGCCCTGGACAAAAGCAGATGTGAGGGCGATGGAGAAGACAGATGCAAGCAATCTTTCCGAGCTGTGAGTGATGGAATGGACTTGGTGACAAGGGAGAGATCGTGGGCAGTAACAAATCCAATGTCATTCCAGGTTCTTAACTTGGACAGCTAGCTACATGAGTGAAAATATTCAACAATTTGGGATGTGTTAAATGTAAGAGATGCCTGGGTATCATCCAGATGAACGTGTCAAGTACACTGAGAGAAACAAGTCTTTGACTGAGGCAAGAATGCAAGAAAGGCTCTAAGGTTGCCTCCTTATCCAGATCTTGTAGTCTGAAAATTACCCTCACCTACAGTACCCACTTAAAAAGTGACCCGAAGGAGCCATTTCTGACCTGTGTAACCATCTCCTTGGCTGCAGTTTACTGAATGATGGACACCCATGCAGAAAAACAAAACTCCAACCAATCAGACTTTCTGTGTTTGGTGCCTTTGTAATCATGTGGCCTCATATCACCATTTGAGGGACAGCCACCTATTCACTCATGTGCAATAGGACAAACATGGGGAAATGAATGTAAGAGGCACACAGAAAGAAATAAAAGGGAAAGAACACGAAGTCTCAAAAAAAGGGAGAGTGGGAGATAGAAAGAAAGAGAGTAAATGTCTGATCGTTGTTTAGTTTTTATTAAACCCTGCTGCATCCAGGGGTCCTCAAACTACAGCCCGTGGGCCACATGCAGCCCGCCGAGGACATTTATCTGGCCCGTTGGGTGTTTTTGCCGCCACTGCCTGTCCTACTTAGCAGCCGACTCATCCAGGGGCCTACAGTCCAGCCCTCCAACGGTCTGAGGGACAGTGAACTGGCCCCCTGTTTAAAAAGTTTGAGGACCCCTGTTGGCCTCTGTCAGATTGTCATTTCTACTTTTGCTTCTATATATTCTATGAAACCAAACAATGCCTGTGATTAAAACAGATGAGACTGCCCAAGAAGAGTACAGAGAAACAAACAAACAAACAAATGTCCAGGGTCAAGACCCTGAGGAACATCAACACGCTAGACAGAAGAAGAAAAGCCAGTGGAAGAGGCAAAGGTGGGGGGGGGGGAGGATTCAGGAAAAAGTAGTGTCCTAAAAGTCAACATAAGAGAGTTTCAACACAGTATCAAATGCTACCAAGAAATCAAATAGGAGGAAAACAAAACTAGGCCATGGATATGGAAATTAAGAGATTACTAGTGGCAATCTCGTTGCTAGTGTAGTGTACCTATTATAACTCAGTTTGTTTTGAGGTCCTGACTGCCATAGTAGTCATTCTTTTTATTCTTTGGTGGGTTTCTCTCTTACTTAAAAATAATAATAAAATCTGGTAGGTTTGCCTTGGTTTCTCTTTTATTTAAAAATAATAATAAAATCTGTCCCTAACCCTTCTGAAAATGTTCCAGATCTTAAACTGCATGTAGCCAGGCGCTGTGGCAGGCGCCTGTAGTCCCAGATACTTGGGAGGCTGAGGCAAGTGAATCACTTAAGCCCAAGAGTTTGAGGTTGCTGTGACATCACAGCACTCTACGAGGGTGACATAGACTTCATCTCAAAAAAAAAAAAAAAAACAACAAATAAAATTAAATTAAAAATAAACTGCATGGTGGTAAAATGCATGTAAAAATTCATTAAACTGAACATTTAAGACCTGCGCATTTTAAGAGAGAGAACAAAATCCCCTCTGTCCCATTCTTCCGTAGTAATCATATTTAAAAATAAAGGGGCTTATAATATAATTTAGGAGCAAATGTTCTTTTTAGTCCCAAGTATAATCTCATGGTATCCTCAACCTTTACCTTCTGAGGTAATGTCATGTAATACTTTCATCACCAGGGGGCGGTGCCTGTGGCTCAAGGATTAGGGCACCAGCCCCCTATGCTGAGGGTAGTGGGTTTGAATCCAGCCCCGGCCAAAAAACCTGATCAGTACAAGTTTCCAGTGTTATGGCTGTATTAGCTTAGAGAAAGAAAGAAAGGTCACATGTATCTTCATACACTCAGCAGATGGCAGGCAATCAGAAGTAGATGAGAGCAGTGAGAGGCACCATGCCAACATGCAAAGAACTCCTACCTTCATCAGGTGCTTGTTGACCCACTTGGTGAACGTTTTCTTCTGAACCCGGTCCCGTTCATCTGCAAAGGAAACACAGAGAAAGCACTGGTTTAGTACTACCCAGGCAACAAGTCCCCCAAAGCCTTGCCCACATATCAGTTCCTCTAGGAACAGTTAAAAGGGTTCACTTTGTCCACAGAACCACAGGACAGTGACTTCTTTATTTTTTTTTTATTTTTTATTTTTTTTTTGAGACGGAGCCTCAAGCTGTCCCCCTGGGTAGAGTGCCATGGCATCACAGCTCACAGCAACCTCCAACTCCTGGGCTCAAGCGAGTCTCCTGCCTCAGCCTCCCAAGTAGCTGGGACCACAGGCACCCGCCACAACGCCAGGCCATTTTTTGGTTGCAGCCATCATTGTTGTTTGGCGGGCATGGTGGGGATTCGAACCCGCCACCTCAGGTGTACGTGGCTGGCGCCTTAGCCGCTTGAGCCACAGGTGCCAAGCCAGGACAGTGACTTCTTAAGAAGGTTTGGCCTATGTGAACTTCTTTGGTTTTTATTTATTTATTTTTTTGAGACAGAGTCTCACTTTGTCTCCCTCAGTAGAATGCTGTGGCGTCACAGCTCATAGCAACCTCAAACCCTTAGGCTTAAGCAATTCTCCTGCCTTAGCCTCCTCTGTAGCTGGGACTACAGGAGCCTGCCACAATGCCTGGATATTTTTTTTGTTGCAGTTGTCATTGTTGTTTAGCTGGCCTGGGCTGGGTTTGAACCTGCCAGCCTCAGTGTATGTGGCCAGTGCCGTAACCACTGTGCTACGGGCACTGAGCCAACTTCTTTGGTCTTGACTGCGTTGTCCCTTGATAGATTACACAGAATTATGTGCCTTAAAAATCATGGGGTGGCAAAGTCTCCCTGATACAATAATTTGAGCAGAGCAGGATGATTCCCCTCTTGCCTCATAACAATCTCCAAAAAGCCAAAGCTGTGAACACCACCAGCAGAAGAAGTGGGGCTGCCTTGGCATTTGGGACACTGGTCGGCAAAAGTTAAACCTCACCTTTCCTGTGCTGATCTGCCACAGCATGGCTCTCCCTCCCTTATCCAGTACTTCCTGTGTTCCAGTTTCTTCAAGAGGCATCACTAACAGCCAGACTCCTGAAGCTGCCTAGTTTATGCCCAGTGCACATCTTTCCTCTGTCTTCCTCCTAAGTTTTACAAGCAAATTTTCCTTCTTTCTCAACTATCGTCACCTCTTTAACAGAAGAAGACTGGCTAAAGAAACACCCAAAATGAAATTGGAACCAAGTAATCTATTAAGAATCCAGTTCAATATGTATAAACCCCAACACCCCAATAAATATCACTTATGTGCTAGGCACATGAGGAATGACAGAAAAATAAGAGCTAACTAAAAGTTGTGCCCACTGCCTTTTTACCAATACCAGACCCACTCTGCTTCACTATAGTAATAAGAATAGTCTGATTAGGGGGAAGGGGGTTGTTTGTTTTTGAGACAAGAGTCTCACTCTGTTGCCCTGGGTGGAGTGCCATGGTGTCATAGTTCACAGTAACCTCAAACTCCTGGGTTTGACTGATCCTCTTGCCTCAGCCTCCCAAGTAGCAGAGACTACAGGCACCTGCCACACCACCTGACTATTCTATTTTTAGTAGAGACGGGACCTTGCTTTTGCTCAAGCTAGTCTCAAATGCCTGGGCTCCAGCAATCTACCCTCCTTTGCCTCCCTGAGTGCTGGGATTACAGGCAAAAGCCACCATACCTTGCCTGACTCTAGTTTTATAAAATTGTCACCCTTAAGAGACAAGTTTTCTTTCTTGTTTTTCTTCTTAGAATTTCTTTTATTACAAAAGTTATACATGTCTGTTATAACAGGCTAAACAATAAATAGATGAAAAGGGAAAATAGTAACAGATTTCTTTTCCATCTAATTAGCATTTTATTTTTATTTTTTAAAGTTGAAAATATTTATTAGAAAAAATACAAACAAAAGTCCCAAAAGAACATGACAATACAGCATAACTAAAGCGTCATTTTCCCTAATCAATATAATTATTAAGTGATCCATTACTTTACTGTATCTTCATACTAAGCAGAAGAGTCCTTGTCTCTGATCATGAGCACAAGGGGATTCCTGTAGATGACCCAGGACTCACAGGTTATGCCCTTGCCCAGGATGATCTGGAGGACAGATGATTCCTGGATTCCTCACAGGACACTCAGGGAGCCTTGAATAACATTCACTACATCTACTCTACTGAAAAATCCCACAGTGAACCTTCCTCAGATTGTCAGAAATGAGATGGTAGTTGAGTGTGTCCACATCCAAGGTCATATCCACTTAGAACTTCCTCATTCTAGGGTTAAGCCCTAGTACATCTCTCAGCTGGTTTACTAGAGCCTTGACCTTGGACACCAGCTCGCCTAGCTGGGCAGTGGGCCTGATGGTACTTATCAGAGAGATTTTAGGGCAGAGGGGACACAGCAAACCCTCCCTGTGGGGCTCCTGCTGCAGTGGGTACATGCATTAGAGGAAGCGGAAGTATCCACATTTCAGGTGTCAGGATTATCAGCATAGTCCAGGCAGACAGGACATCCTCTTGTTCCCTTCTGGCTTCCAACTCTGTCCAAGGACAGCTCAGATCTCTAGTTAGCATTTTAAAGAAGAGGTGGGATTCATTTCATTTCTTTTTAGTTTACTGCCTCATTTCTTTTAGACCTGAAGATGTAAGTAGCATGACTGAGTCCTTTATCATCCGTACGTTATTCTGTTCATCTACTAAGCTCATGAAGACAGTGCACTAGAAAACCTGATAGTCTCATATCAATCATGCTTCCAAAAGCTAAAATGCTGACTTTCAATTCAGGAGAAAGAAGTTCAGGTGCTTATTCTGAATGTAATTATTAAAGGCAACATGATTACAAGCCTTTCACAAGACTAGCTAGCATGCTTAGAGCTGAGCTATAAGCTCCTCAGAAAAGGGTTTATAGAACTCCTTTGCTCCTAAGAGCTGGAAGATCCTCTTTTAGGATCCTATATTGACATAATGAAATGCCTGGAGTTTAATATCTAAATATTGTAGTAAGGAAGTTCATTAGGAAAGTCAAAAGCATCTCTAATGATTAAACAGACCTCCAGAATGCTCCAATCAGCTCAGTCTTTTAAACTATTTAATAAGTTTTAGGTTTGGCTCCCTACACAGAAATCCTAAATTTAATTCTAGGAGCAAAGATCTTCTGCCTACCACTGAAGGTAGAACTCTCAGAAAGTTTCTCTCCCTTGTAGGAGAGAAAAATAAGAAAAATACCAATATTCATTTTGGCATTTCTTACCATCTCAGCCCAACCAAAGCTAAGGGAGCACCACTGCCAACAACAGCAGATGCTCCAACTGCTCATCTGATTTTTTTTTTTTTTTTTGTAGAGAAGACAGAGTATCACTTTATCACCCTTGGTAGAGTGCCGTGGCCTCACACAGCTCACAGCAACCTCCAATTCCTGGACTTAGGGAATTCTCTTGCCTCAGCCTCCCAAGTAGCTGGGACTACAGGCTCCTGCCACAACACCCAGCTATTTTTTGTTGCAGTTTGGCCGGGTTTGAACCTGCCACCCTTGGTATATGAGGCTGGCACCCTACCCACTGTGCCACAGGCACTGCCCTCATCTGATTTTTAGATTGAACACTTAACTTGGGGGTTACTAAGTTAGTAAGCTTTAATTAGAAGAATTTAATATTTTGTTTCCAACCTTATTAAGACCACCACTATAGCCAGAAGTAGTGCTATAACACTCATCTGATTTTTAGATTGAACATTTAACTTGGGGGTTACTAAGTTAGAAAGCTTTAATTAGAAGAATTTAATATTTGTTTCCAACCTTATTAAGACCACCACTATAGCCAGAAGTAGTGGTTTATGCCTGTAATCCCAGCATCTTGGGACGTCCAGATGGGAGAAGTGCTTGGTGCCCGGAGTTCAAGACCAGCCTAGGCAACAACAATAGCAAGATCCCATCTCTACAAATTTTTTTTAAAAAATTATCCAGGTGCAGTGGTGTGTGCCCATATTCCTAGCTACTTGGGTGACTGAGGCAAGGGGGTTGTTTGAGCCCAGGAGTTTGAGGCTACTACACTGACCTGTAATCATGTCACTGCACTACAACCTAGGTGACAAAACAAGACGCAGTCTCAAAAAACAAACAAAAACCAACCAAATAAAAGGTCTCTGGCAGTGTGTTACTAGTACCTAGCCTAATTTTCCTTCTTTTTGTTTCATTAGCAAAGACATCCCCTCTTACAATTTGAGGTCAGTCTTTTCACCCACAGTTGGATCTCTCTCCGTGGGAAACTTAATCCAGCAATTATTCCCTAACCTGTGTATCTTCAGCTTCTCCCTCTCCACTGGTTCTGTCCACTCAGCTTCTGAATAAGTATGATGACAAGGTTCAGACTCCATGTCCTCACTTCCTTCTCACTCTGTGTAACTTGGCTTTCAGCCACCCAGATTTCACTGAAACTGCTCTGCCCAAAGTCACATTACTGTCAACCCAATGAATAGCCTGGAATTCTATCTCACTCACTCTGTGCTGGAACACATTCCTTCCCCCTTTCAAGTCCACTCTTCCTCTTGAATCTGAGACTCTGTTTTACCCTCAGTTTTCCTCTTTCTTTGTGTTTTTTCTTCTCAGAACACCCTTAAATGTATAGTCATCCTGAGACCTCTTTTCTTTTCATTCTGTCTTACAGATTCTCCAGATATACTTGGACCCAAGCGTCTGTTGATGGCTTTCGAGAGTAAGGGTTCATGAATCACCTAAAACTGCATGCAAAGATTTTGGTTTATGTAGGAGTAGGGGAAATCCATAGCTTTTCCAAAAAATTTAAAAATAGCTGTTCTCTATATTCTCCTATAATGATTTAATCAACTCCCACTGTTTCAATTGTAACATATACATTGTTAATTCCCAGATCACATCCACAGTTTAGACCTTTATCCCCAACACCACTCTCATTCATATCCAACAGCCCCTTAAACTTTCACACTTGTCTCAAACTCAGTTT